GCCACGGTGCTGAAGCACACGCAAGCGGCTCCGGTGGACCTCGCCGTGAAGCAAACGCTGTCCCGAGGGAAGCGGGTCCTGAGGTTTTCCGCAACTGTTGTCGGGCGAAGAGAGCTATGCACATGCACCGATCCTGACAGCGTCCATCCTTGACCCAGGATCGGTGCACATACCTCCCTGGCCAAGGTAGAGGGCGTATGCACCGATCCTGGGCTCAGGACGGGCCTGGCCAGAATCGGTGCATGTGCGTAGTTATATTTCCTCTATGTTGGGGTCCCTGGGCCCTCCACGGGCCCCGGCATTGCCTGAAGGCGTCTCAGTCTCGTTTCCAGCAGGGCCCGCTCGCCCCATGCCAAGGACCTGATGCTGAGCCATCAGATCCGCATGCTCAGCAGCTCGCGGAAGAACGTGGCGCAGGCGGGGCGCCCTAGAGAGGGCCTTCTCCTTCCGAGGGATGGAATGGTGGTTGACCTCTTGTCGTCTTTGCGGAGGCTGACGGAAGGCGTGCGGAAGTCCAGCGGAAGTAAAGCATGGATTTGGTGTGTTTTCCCAACCGTCCTGTGGTATTGGGTCTTCGTTTTGAAGAGAGCGCCCCGCGTCGCTCCTCCTCCTCCCCCCCCCTTCTCCAATCCTTGCGTCTGCCCCCCTGCAGGTAAAACTTGTCGCCCTTCACACCCCACCAATTTCGGCACAACACTCACACGTTCTATAGCCCCATAAGGGGGCTCCACCGAAGGCCCCAGAAGGGTGTACCGGCCCACGCATTGCGACACACCCCTCACACGTTTCGTGTTTCGTAGCCCCATAGGTGGCTCCACCGAAGGCCCCAGGGGGGCGTACCACATGCGGCCGCCCTACCAATTTCGGCATCGTCCTCACACGCTCCGTGGCCACATGGGAAGCTCCACCGAGTGCCCCAGTGGCAGGGCCCGCATGCCACGTTTCGTGGTCCCATAGGGAGCTCCACCGAAGGCCCCAGCGACAGCGCCCGCATGGCGGCCCCGCACAATTTCGGCACCCCTCACACGCTTCGTGGCCCCATAAGGGGCTCTATCTGAAGCCCTAGTGGCAGCGCCCGCATGGCCGCCCCGCCTCATCTCGGCACACCCTGGACACGCTTCGTGGCCCCATCAGGATGTCCACCGAAGGCGACACTCAGAACGACGGTTCTCGCAACGTTGAATGTTTGGGCCCGTCGCCAGGATATTTGCTTTTGCTGCTGTTGTTGTTGATGATGATGATGTTGTTGTTGTTACTGCTGCTACTGCTGCTGTTGAACTCACTACTGAAGAATGATAATTGTTGATCCCCCCTCCGGTGACCATTGTGTTTTTCAATTTAAGTGCTTCCCCTGGGGCTCGTACCTTATTTTGTATCAGCGAAAGTCACTAGGGTCAAACTGCGTTGTTGGCCCCCGAACTACAACAACAACGGCTCCCGCCTGATGTTTCCGCACAGTTCATTCCCAAATCGCGCTCTCGCGCGGGACGTCCTCACAATTGATTCAGGAGTCGCGCTCTCGCGTGGGACTTCCTCGCAATTTATTCAGACGCCGCGCCCTCGACTTTCAGGAGTCACGCTTTCGCTGTGGATCTCCTCAAGACTGATATGGGAATCGAGCTGTCGCTCGAGACTTCCTCGCGGTTCATGCAGGACGCACGCTGGAGCAACCCGCCTGCTCGACCTGGTCGCCTGGGCCCTCCTTCCCAACCCGCCTGGTAGGGTCTCCCCGCCCGGTCTGCCCGCCTGGTTCTGCCACGTGTTTTCTGTTCTTAGCCCGTGCTCCATCCTCCTCTCTCCCCCTTGTCCTTCCTTCCATCCATCCTCTCTCCCCCTGCCTCGGGCTGCGCGAAATACACGTTGCAGGTAAGAAAAAAATATACCTCCAAGGGGGTACGGTCGAGGACGACGAGGGCGCGTCTCGAGGGTTCGGGATATACGTGTTGAACGGCACGCGAGCAAATGAGAACGAACAGTCTGAAAGTGGTAGTTGTTGTTGTCGTCGTCGTTGTTATGTTTGATGCTGTTGTTGTCGTTGTTGCTCTTGGTGTGACTGTTATTGCTGTTGTACTTGTTGTTGTTGTTGTTGATGATGTAGTTGTTTTTGTTTTTGTTGTTATGGTTATTGTTTACCGTTGTTTGTGCTTGTTGTTGTTGCTGCTGTTGCTGTTGTTGTTGTTGTGGTTGATGTGGTTGTGGTTGCTGTTGTTACTATTGTTGTCGTGGTTATGGCTGTGGCTGTGGCTGTGGCTGTGGTTGTTGTTGTTGTTCTTGTTGTTGCAGTTGTTGCTGTTGTTGCTGCTGTTGTTGTTGTGGTTGTTGTTGTTGCTGCTGCTGCTGTGGTTGTTGTTGTTGTTGTTGTTGTTGCTGTTGTTGTTGTTGTTGTTGTTGTTGTTGTTGTTGTTATTGTTGTTCTTGTTCTTGTTCTTGTTCTTGTTGTTGTGGTGGTTGATGCTGTTTTGTGGTTGACTTTTTATAGTCGCTTCGCTCATTCCGCCGGCCCATATTGCGCGCATTGGGAGCCTTTTGGGGCTTCCTGGGGGCCTCTTCGGGCGCAAGGTCGTGTTCCCCCTCTTGGTTCGTGTTCCCCCTCTTCGGTTCGTGTTCCCCTCTTTGGGCGCAAGGTCCTGGGGGCCTCTTCGGTTCGTGTTCCCCCGCTTGGGCCCGTCTTGAGGCCGTTTTGGGCTCTCTTGGGCTGTCTTGGGCGCTTCTTGGGCCGTTTCGGAGTCGTCTTGAGATGTCTGGGGACTTTCTCGGGGGCCTGTTGGGCCGTCTTGGGGCGGTCTCGGGGGCCCCTGGGGCCGTCATGGAGCTTCGCATGCTCGAAAGGGCGACAGCGTGAAATACATTGAAGAGCACAATCAAAATCACTGATTCTTGTCTCGTTGGGCCCTCTTGGGGGGCCTCTTGGAGCGCTCTCCGGGGCTTCTTTCGGGTTTCTCGGTTGTCCTAGAGGCATCTTCGGCCATCTTGGCGGCTTTTTTTGCCTCCCAGGTCCGTCTTGGAAGCCACCTTGGGCATCTGGGTCGCATCTTGAGCGCATTGAAGAGCGCCTGGAACCCATCCCACCGTTGTGCGTGTGTTGTGGGGCAGAATCGTCAGGGATGCTCGTGGCGAGCGAGAAGGAAGAGGAGGACGAGGAGGAGTAGGAGGAGGAGGAGGAGGAGGAGGAGGAGGAGGAGGAGGAGGAGGAGGAGGAGGAGGAGGGGAGGAGGAGGAGGGGGAGGAGGAGGAGGAGGGGAGGATGAGGATGAAAAGGAGGCCTCTCGATCGCTTTTTGTGGCATTTTTGGGCCAAACTTGATCGTGGACAAGACGCCTGTTTGGGAGGCTGCTTGGGGTCTCTTGCGAGGCCTCTCGGGGCCTCTCGGCGGTATTTTTGAGACCTCCTCGGGCCTCTTGGGGGCCTTTTGGGGGCCTCTTGGGGCCTCTCGCGAGCCTCTTGGGGGCTTCTTGGGGCCTTCTGGGGGCCTCGGGGCCGAGAACTGAAACGTCCGCTCGTACGCCTCGTCAGGGCCCGCTCTCGGAGCTCTCTCGGGGGCCTCTTGGGCCGTCTTGGAGGGCTCTTGGGCTGTCTTCGGGCCCTCTGAGGCCGTTTCGGGACCCTCTTGGAGGCGTCTTGGGCCGCATTCGGATGATTTCGTGGGCTTCTTGGGCCCTCTTGGAGAGCGGGTGAGACAAAAAACTTCGCCCCCCGCCGCCCCCCGCCGCCCCCCGCCGCCCCCCGGCGTCCTGGTCTCGGTCGGCCACCCCACGCCGCCCCCCGACGACCCCCACGGCCTTCCCGACGACTGCAAAAGCCCCCCCCCCCCGACGCCCACCGCCCACTCCACCGCTACGCTTGCGCCGCCTGGTCGGCGTCGCCGCCGTAGGGTCCGTAGCCTCGTCGCGGGTGGCCCTTCTTTCCCTGCTTCTGGCCCGGCCTGTCTGCTTGCGGTTGCTTCCCCTCTCCTTCTCTTCCTTGCTTCTCTCCCTTTCCTTTCTTCTTGCTCCCTGCCTGCTGTCTCCGCCTGGCCCCTCATCCGCCTGCCCGCCCGCCCCGCCGGCCCTGGTCTCCTGCCTGCGCGTTCGTCGTCGTCTTTCTGCTTCTCTCCTCCTCGTCCCCTTCCGCCGGGCATCACAGCCTGCCCTGGACCAGCGCGGCGGCGTGTAGGGCTTCAGCTGACAGCACGGAGCTATCGCCAGGCACTTCCCACGCTTCTTGCTGAACGGAGCCGCAGCGGCAGCAGACATCGTTAAAACTCCTGGGGGCCCTCTTGGGAGGGCTCTTGGTGGCCTTTTGCGGCCTTTGAATGGCGTCTTGGGTCATCTGAAGGCCACATTGAGCGTCTTGCAATGATCGTTCGTCGTTTGGGAACCGTCTTGGGGGCCTTGTGGGGCTCTCTTGGAGCGCTCGGGAGGGACTGAAGGGCGGCACCCAGAAAGAAAGCCATCTCTGACCCGAATCGGCTTATTTCAGTCTTAGCACAATAGAGGTCACCCCTAGGGAACCCAGGGTTTCCGGAGTCGCCCAGGTGGCGGTCATCAACGCCAAGGTGCCTGAGGTGGATAACGCCTTGGGCACTGCCCACGATCCCATCATCGGGCAAATGCGTCGCAGCTACGGCACCACAGGCTCCGTGCAGGTTGTCGAGCTCGAGGCGAACGAGACCCGGCAGCAGGAGTTGATGCAGAAGGTGTTCTCCGTCCGCCAGGGCAGCACGGCAGCCTTCGCGAAGAAGTTCTTCAAGCAGAGCCTTACATCTCCGGAAAGGAAGCGCCACATGGCTTATTTCAATGCCATGATGCAGTTCATCGATCTCTGCAGCCAGGCCGAGTACGGCGTGGAGATCTGCGTCAACATGCAGGGGGAGTCTTTCCTGCACAGGCAGACCAAGAAGGGTTTGATCGAGCTTGCCAGCGATCTGTTCGACGAAGACGAGGAGGTTGTGGCACTGCAGCCTCCGTCCTACTGCGACTACACGCAGGCTCACCACAGGCCGGCGTGGGCGAAGAAGGACCAGTGGACCAACAGCAGCTTCACGAAGTGCACCGCCAACGCGACCAAGACCAAGCCAGAGGCCGGCCCCGACAACATGCTCTTCAACCGCCAGCGCCTGATGGCAGCGCTGCCGCTTAGCGTGAATACGGATGACCTGGACCTCGACAAGGGCTTCGACCACGCGCTCTTGGCGGGACTGTCGGGCGCTGGGGCGATCAAGGGCATGCAGTGCGGTCACTCTTTTGTCATCAGGCCTGCCGGCGAGGAGGCCAAGTGCAAGGGCAAGAAAAACTCGCTTAAGTCCCAGGCGCTCGTCGCCGGCAAGTTCGCGAAGTCTGAGGATGCCAGCCGATTCTCTGGAGAGTACGGCTCCTTCAACCAGAGGGTTGTCCAGGGGATCGAGGTCGGAGGACGCCAACCAGGCACATAACCGATCTTGGCCAGGTTGATCCTGGGCCTCGGATCAGTGTGTATGCTTTCCCAGCCAAGCTAGAAGCGGCGTCACCCCAACATACTTATACTATATGTGCGTCGCCCCCTCAAGGGCGACGCGCGCACCGAGAAATCTTATAGTATATGCGTCGTGGCGGGCGCTTTCTGACCACACCGCTCGGGAAACGATACACTACAAGATGGGTATACTATATGTTCGGGTCGGACGCGCGCCTCCAAGGAGGACATATAGTATTAGTATGTCTCTGTGCGTCCCATAAAAAGGCATATACACCGATCGTGGGCCCAGGGGGTGGCCTGGCCTTGGCCGGCGTTGGTGCACAAGTTGGCGTCCTCCTGCGAGAGGTGTTGGCGGACCGCATGGAGAGAGGGATGATTCCCGGCCCGACCGGCAGCGTGGGAGACAAGTGCCTGGAGATGTGCCCGTCCGACGCTCGCATCAAGGAGGGCATGGCGTGGTGAGTCGCCGGTCGAGCGTGACCTTCGCACGCGAGGGGCTCCTCCTTTTCCTCCTCCTTCTCCTCCTCCTCCCTCCTCATCCTGCTCCTCCCTCGACGTAGGCTCTTGCGATTGCTCTGATGCCGATGGCGCACTCCTCGGCCAGCCCTCCTCCATCAAGCTCCGAGAACTGTTCACCGACACCCTTACCCTCCTCATCCTGAGTGCCTGGAGGTCTGGGCCCTCCCTCCTCAACTGGACCTCAGGACCTCCTCCTGGGATGCGTTTTGATCAGAATGCCAAACGGAATCCAGCCGTGGCGACGAGAGCGCTCAAGGGCCAAAAACGTCGAAACTCCTTCAGGGAGGCTGGTCAACCTCTTCGCCCTCTCCCTTACGCCGAGGGTGTTTCCATGGAGGAACAACAAAAAGCTCTGGAGGCCCTTCCTGGTCTCTGGGGCCTGCAGACAACGACTCGGGCTGAAAAGCTTGTCCTGGGGAAGGGGTCGGGATCTCCAGGGGCTGGCCACTGGAAAGGATCGAGTCGTCGGAGGTCTGGGGCAGGGAGGGAGGATGATACATGCCACCCAGACGGGGCTGGATCAAATAGGGTCGGAGGACCGCGGCGCATCGCCGATGCACCAGCGACGCGGCGCGATCTGGATCCCGATTTTCTCCATCTCGACGTTGCGGATGCATCACCAATGCATCGGCGATGCGGTCGATTTTCCAACCCCATTCACTCTGACGCTATTGGGGAGGCACCCAGAGGAGGAGGAGGAGGAGGAGGAGAAGGAGGAGGAGGAGGAGGAGGACGAGGAGGAGGATGGGGAGTACGAGGCACGAGGGGTGAAGCACATGGGGGAACGAGGGGGTCGGTCGGGAATCGAGTGAACCGAAGTTCGTGACCGACGCAGGGGACTGCGCCTACGGAGCGGGGCCGTCCCGGAGGTCTGGTGTCCCTCCCGAGGCGAAGGAGGGGAGGGAACGAGCAGGAGGAAGAGGTGAGGCGGGATGGGCCGGGATGGGGGGAAGGAGTGCGGCAGGAGGCAGCAGTGGGGGGAGGCAGGAGGAGGTTCAGGAGGAGCCGGAAGAGCCTGCAGGAGGAGGAGGAGGAGCCCCCTCGGCGGGTGGCGACGGCAGCTCGGGAGCGCTCGGGCCGCGCGGCGATCCCGTGGCGGTGAGAGGGAGCGCTGCGCGCTCGCGCGAGAGACACTTACATACACACGTCAATATACACCTTAGGCGATGCTTAAGAAAACCTAGGTTTTCGGCCAGAGGCTCGATTATTCTTAATGTTTCAATGTAAATCCTAAGATTGTAATAGAAATGTTGGGTTTTAGTTCAAGTTCTGAGACGATGAATTTCTTAACCCATGATTTCTTCAGCATCTCGCAGGGTGTACACGTGTGTATACACACACACACACTTATAGTTACACGCACATGTATGTGTTAGCCAGCGTGGACCCCACCCGGCGATTTCTCGCAATCCAGGCGGTGCAATCTAGGTGGTGCGATCCGTGTGGTGCAGTATGTGTGGTGACAGGCAATGCAAAGCAATGCAATGCATTGCAGTGCATTGCAATGCGATGCAATGCAATGCACGTCAACGCACAGTCATGCAACAC